ATATCTCTGCAAAAGGAGATTCATACTCTCCATCCCTATCACTCCGAATCATTTTTATCTTTAGATTCAATTGGTTCTCCACTTCATTTTTGTATAGCTTAAATGCATCAATTGCTTCATCCTTATTATTAAGCAAATATACATAACAAAATCGAGTGCAGTCATCAATAAAAGTTATAAAATACTTTTTTCCTCCACGAGATGGTGTTGACTTCATATTGCATATATCTGTGTGAATTAAGTCTAAAGTTATATAATTTCTTTCAACAGAGTTGTAAGGATGTTTAACAAACTTACTTTCCGCATAAATTTCGCGTTTCGATTTATCGCATTGAAATCAGGCATTATTTCTAGATTAATCAATTTTTGCAAGGCTTTGTAATTTACATGTCCCAAACGGGCATGCCATAAATCACTTAACTCCAATAAGTAAATAGAAGCAGAATTTTTATTAATACCGTCAACAACCATTATATTTAGTTTGAAAAGACCCTCATTGAGGTAGACCTTTCCTATGAACATTTCATTCTTATTTATTACAGCTTTATCACTAACTAGGATACACTTAAATCCGTTCTTAACGAGTAGTGCAACAGAAACTAAATTCTTCCTAATAGTATGAACATGCAGAACATTGTTCAAAGTCAACACCTTGCCGGATGTCATTTTCAAAATTACTTTTCCAGTTCCTGCAATCCTTGTTGTTGCTGTGTTTCCCATGAATAAATATTCATTGTACTCAGCAAGAGTGTACGTTGCAAAGACTTCTTTCGCAGAGCAAATATGTCTAGTGGCACCTGAGTTGAGAAACCACTCCTTGATATTTCCAACTAAGTTACACTCCAGATCATTCCACACAAGTCATCTGCATCTTCCATCTTATCCACGATGTTTGCTTGACTTTTGCCTTTGCCTTTGTTTTTGTTCTTTCTTGGAGCATGACAATCAGAAGACCTATGACCATCCTTGCCACAATTGTAATAGTTGTCTTTGAATTTCTTCTTGGCCTGTTCTGACTTCTACCCATTGGACTTTTTTCTCTTTTTGTCTTTGGTAGGAGCTTCTTCAACAATATTAACTCCAATGATTGTTGAACTCTTACGCGACTTCTTTTGGCGTTTTTGTTATCTTCCTCAATCTTGAGCCGAATCACAAGATCTTCAAGCTTCATTTCTTTACGCTTGTGCTTTAGATAATTCTTGAAATCATTCAACGAAGGAGGCAACTTCTCGATGATTGCAGCCACTTGAAAAGCTTCATTTACTACCATATCTTCAGCAATTAGATCATGGAGAATAAGTTGAAATTCCTGCACTTGTGATCCAACAGTTTTATTATCTACCATTTTCTCGTCTAAAAACTTTGCAACCACAAACTTTTTCAAGCATGCTTCTTCTATCTTATATTTCTCCTCAAGTGCATCCCACAACTCTTTTGAAGTTGTTATTGCACTATAGACATTATATAAGTCATCCTTTAAAGCAATCAAAATGTAGCCATTACATAGGAAGTCTGTCTGTTTCCATGCATCAATAATCATGAATTTTCTTTGTCTGGCATATTATCAGTAGGAACTAGAGTATCTTAACTTGTAAATTTTTGCAGACCAAGAGTGGTAAGCTAGAAAAATACTCGTTGATGTCATTCTTTGAAATTCATACCTGTGAATTTACCCAGTTTCTCTGCTTGTGGTACAAGAGTTCGGGTTGGTGTAGCAACAGCCACTGTAACACAATTGTTTGTTGTTTCTGATAAACAAAAATTGATACAATCTAAGTAAGTAATAAACTATAATTGGAGACTTAAAGGAGTATAAAATCACGAAGATTTTTGTCTCCACCAGAAACACAGATTTAAAAAAAATAATTTCCTTAGGATTGTTTTCGATCTGCGTTATCAAAATCAGAAATTACTGATTCTAATAAATTTTTCAGAAACACGAAGTAACTGAAATTTATAAAACCAGTAAGAGAGATGAACAAAAATTTAATTTAAAAAAAAAACTAAAATTTGAACGAACATACTATAATTTGAAAAAATCTTTTAAATCGGAAAAATATCAAGTCCACTGAACTCACAGTGTCCCCTTAAGGAAATTATTCCCCTCTAGTATCCGAGGTTTGATTTGGAATATAAACTCCCAAGGTAAAATGATCTTAATCAGCAGATTGTAGATACAAAAAATTCTACTGTCAAAGAATCAATCCACAACATGAAAGTACACGAAGAAAAATGTGTGCAGAAGAAGAAGAAGAAGATCACAAAATTCGTTAGGAAATATTCTGAAGAATGAGTGGTATTTATAGGCAAGAAGAATATGTTCTGAAAGGTTGCAACCTTTTCAGAATTCACACGACCATTAATGAAAGTTTGCAACCTTTCAAACGGTACTGACTATACCTGAAAGTTGCAACCTTTCAGAACAATCATAGCGAGAAATTTGAATAAAATGGAAAGTTCAAATAAAATGGATGGCGCACAAATCTGAGTCGGGTCGGGTTAGTCAACTAAAAAGTTGAAACATTTCGATTAATTTTCAACTTCTATTATCAACTAATTAGTTGAAAATATTTTTCTGGTCCTTTAATTAATTAATTAAATAAATAAATAAAAGAAATTTTGTCCAAAAAATAATCTCTTGATCGTTCATTTGCCTAAGCAGAAGCCGAAGCCGAACAAACGACGATGGCGACGGCGCGAGGGGGTCCCTCTTTCCAACCCTTTTAAAAATTTGTAGGAGTGTTTCTGTATTTAAACTCTCCTATTTTTCTTTCCATCACCGATGAGGGACAAATGCCTTTTCATTAAAGCATAAGAGGACTTTTGAAGTTCCCAACTCTTCAAGTTCTCAACTTTTCAAATTCTCTCCTTCCCTCTATTTCCCATCAATTCTTGCTACATACCCGACATGAATATGATCCAATACAATTTATGTCTCTACAAATTTCTCTTACTTCGAGACTTGTCAACGTGTAGGATTGCCGAAGTTTGACGACAAGGCTTGAAGTAGTCATGAATGTGTTTTCAATTTTTTGACACTTTTCAACGTTTAAGCTTGCCGAATTTGTCGAAGAGAGTTGAAGTCTTCTTGAGGCCAACAATATCACTCTTAAGACAGTTCGTTTACCTCATTTCATGCGATGACACAAGTTGCATCGTAGGGTCATGTACGACTCCATTTCGATGTGCTCATAAGGATTTTTTTACTTCAATCCACTCGAGGGAAGATTTGGAGGACTCTCTCTCGAGAGGGATAATCAAATTAATATGACAAAGTTAAATGAATTTTAAATTCAAAAAACTTTCACCATAGACTTGCATACTAATTCGGACACCAAACACTGAGAGTGTCATACAAGTCTTCAACTTAATTTTTTTTTAAAAAAAGGAAATAACTTGATTCGCTTCTTTTTTTTTTCCAAACCTTTAACTTGAAAACAAGTGGTAATTTAATAATAAAAATAATTTTTTTTCCTTTGCTTAGATTTTGTAAGAAGCATTCTTGAAATCTCAAGACTCATTGCATTTTTTGGAGTGCTAGCAACTTCCATTTAGATGGGTAAGAATTGATATAATTTGCTTCTTCCAATTTCCATTCGGATTTTATTTGCTTCTTGTAAAAATTGTTCAATATAAGTAACTCCCATGTACAAAGGATTTATAAGAGAATCATTGAAAAAAAATTCTCCTAACCAAATTAATGTGGAACTCCAAATTTGGTGTCTTCTTTTTTCAATTTCGTGTAGTTCCATCAAAATCTCATTTTCTTAGTGTAGAAATATTCAAATAATGAGATGCTTGATTGGGAAGAAACATGATTTGTAGTACTGTGACCTATCCAAAAATCAACGTCAAATACCTTCCAGATGGACGAAAATAAATTTCTGTCAGATCCCAAATCTGTCAGTTCTTCTCACAACTATGCACGATCTCGCCAAAACATCACTTTTTTGGTGTATGAACATTCAAACGATTAGAGGCTTGATTATAGTGAAAACATACTTCTAGTACTACAACATATCTAAAAATTATAGTTAGAAACCTTTTGGATCGACAAGAATCAATTTCTGAAGTTGGAACCCTAATCTGGCAGTTCTTCTCCCAACTATGCGCAATCTCGCCAAAACATCCTTTTCTTAGTGTAGGAACATTCAAACGATGAGAGGCTTGATTCTAGAGAAACTAGACTTTGATTAATACGACATATGCAAAAATAAACATTAGAAACCTTCTAGAGTGACGAGAATCAAATTTTGAAGTTAGACCCAGAATCTGTAAGTTCTTCTCACTACTATGTGCAATCTCGAGAAAACATCATTTTGTTGATTTTGAAGAAACTAGACTTCGATTAATATTACATGTCCAAATATCAAAGTTAGAAACCTTCCGGATTGACGGTAATCAAATTTTGATGCTGGACCTAAAATCTAGTAGTTCTTCTCACGACTATGGATTCTAGTCAAAACATCATTTTCTTTGTGTAGAATCTTTCAAATAACGAGCGGGTTGAATCATAAGAAAATAGACTCATATTACTGTGGAATATCAAAAAATCCATCTCAAACTCTTCTTGAATCGACAAAAAATGATTATTATTTTTTGAAGTTGGTCTTCAAACTTTGTTGTTTTTCTGACGGATTTATGTCTTTTAGATTTTTCTTGTTTCTTTTTGTTGAAGGTAATGGTTGTGGTTGCACCTTTATTTTGCTTTGGCATGTTTCTTATATAGGGGAGCTTGATGTTCAAGATCAATTTGACTGTAATTTAAAACTTCGTGATATTGGCACTACTATGTCGAACCAGATTGTTGTGTTGCTGCTCATGTTTGTCAAGTCATATTGAAGGGTCATGCACTTACTACATATGTTATTAGAAGTAGATTAACCAAGAAAAAATTAAAATTTCATGCAGTTTGCAACAATAACTTCAATCTTATTTTTTTTGTTTCAAGTTTTGAAAGAGTCTAAATCGCTTACAAGTTGCACGAGTTGTTCATATGATTGGCGTAGTACTCATCTCATCCTAGCAATGTTGACAAAAAAACTCACTTGACGCATTCACCTTCGTTGCAACCTTTGTAAATAAACTTGACAACTCCATTTTCATCCTTTTATTTGTGGTTCCACTAGAGAAACATTTGAAGTGCGTACTTTCATTCATTTTCGACGAGAAAAGACCTGACGTGAGGATAGAGAGAGAAACACTTGGGGTATGCCTCAAAACATCAGCGAACTAGACTGCGAATAATCTTATTCTTTAGTTGTAGTGTGGATTGAAATCTTCCTCTCAATTTGGAGAAGATCTTGGACCAATCTTCTGACTTCTTAGGAGGCACATGGTGGTCGAATTTCGTATATTTTGTGATTTCAACTTTGCACACCTACGAAACATATTTATTTTCAAATGTTAAAAGCCATGAAATTGCAATACACTGGATCCGAGAGTGATAGAACTCAATTTCTTACAATATGTCAAAGTTTCATATCAAAATTTCTTCCACATTGTTCAAAATTAAATCCTGAAGTTGCTTTTGAACTTTGATATCTCTTTTACAACTTTGCACGATTATGGTAGAAAATTCTTAACTTGGAGTAGGAGTATTGAAATAATGATTTTCTTTTTTTTTTTTGGAAAGACTACTCAAATAACTACACAATGTATAAAAATCATGACCAAAGACTTTGTGGATTGGTACAGATATCGCTTCAAAGTCAGCTCATGGTTCTACCTCTCTCAACTCTTCAGCATTCACGACTTTAGGAGAATATCAATAACTCGGCCCAGGAGCCTCCAAAATAATGTGATTTTTTTGTTTGGAAGAATAACTCATAGACTTATATAATATATAAAAGTCACGGCCAAAATCCTTCCATAGTAGTACAAATATATTTTCAAAGTTATCTTCAATTTTATCTCGCTCAACTCTTCAGCTTTGAGTAACTTTGGGAGAATTTTAATAACACGGCGTAGTAGCCTCGAAATGATGCGGTTCTTGTTCTGTTGGAAGAATAACTCGTATATGTACAACATATGTAAAAGTCACACCCAAAGATTTCTAGATTAGTGCATATATCATTTCAAAGTCAACTCAAATTCCGCTTTGCTAAACTCTGCAGGTTTGGGCATCTTCAGGAGAAAATTAATAACTCGGTGTAGGAGTCTCGAAATGATACGACTTTCATTCTATTGGAAGCATAACTCATAGATTTACAAAAATATATAAAAATCACAACTAAAAGATTTCCATATTAGTGCATATATCTTTTCAAAGTCAACTCAAATTTCTTTTCGCTAAACTCTTCAGCTTTTGGCAATTTTGGGGGAAAATTGATAACTCTGACGTAGGATTCTTGGAATGTGTGATTCTTATTCCATTGGAAGCATAACTCACAGATCCTTGTAATCTAAGATCATCCTTCGCCAAGGATTGATGTAGTCCATTACGAATTCATCCTTACCTTGTTTTGTATAAGTCAATATATTCCATCATGCTCATTGTACGACAGGTATTGTAGAAATGATTGAGAAATTGATTTTCTAAATGTTTCCAACTATTGATTGATTCAGGATCCAAGTACATATAGAAACCAAAGGTGTTTTCTTTTAATGAATGGATAAACTGCTTGACAAAAAGATCATCATATGTACCAACACTGCTACAAGTCTCGACGAAATGGGTAATATGTTGTCTTGAATTTCCCCTTTCATCAAATTGTTGCAATTTTGGTTGTTGATATCTAATTAGCATTAATAGACCTTCGATCTCCTAGAATACAACTTCGAATATACTAAGGAACTTTGTGACGGACCACCATATTGAGGTTTAATTGTGTTTATGATCATATCTTGTAGTTGTTGAACTGTTAGAATGACAACTGAAGCAAATTGTTTTACGCTTTGAGGGTCAACTGACTTGGTGGGAGAATCAATATCAACTTTTTCTTGAGTTGTTAGATTGTGATGTGACTCTCTAGAGTTGTAGAGATCTAACTTTCTCATAAGTTGCGCGATTTGAAGATTTTTGTCATCAATATACTTCTTCAAGGCTTCAATGGTTTGATCCATCATTGCAAACTTCTTGTCCATGTCAGTTGCGTCAACCATAAAGGAGTTACCCCTTGTTGAAATTGAAGAATCTGTTGAACTTTTAGATTCGCCAAAGTTGAATCCAGAGTGAGAAAGTTCATCAATCAACTTGATGCAATGTTGACCCCATGGATTGCAGTTCTGAGAGTCATTCGAGACTTGCTCTTTCTTAGCATCTTCAAGGAGGTTAAATATTCAGATCCATTAAAGACACTTTTCTTGAACTCACGTCGAGTTATTGGATCAACATCACTAAAATCAACAAATGTGGCAACAATAGAGTCCTTGCATGAAACATCATTGATCTTCTTGAAGGCCATTGCAAAGTTTAACTTGTCGTTTTTTTATTCGTAGGAGGAAGAAATGAAGAGCATAATTGGTCCCACTGGTTGTGCCAAATTTGTTCGCGACGAATTTTCTTAGGCGCTGAAAATCGACTGCAAGCAAAATAAATAAAAAGAAAAAATATAATTTTATTAATGAATCATTGTGAGTACAATTCTGTTGTTCTCTTGATTCTCTTTCCCAAGTTTCTTCGTGATTCGAGGGTCTTCAATAGCGTGTTTCTCGAATTGTTAGGTGATGTCGATCTCCTTGATATGTTATCGATCTCCGGGACGTCATAAAATGCTTTGTCGTTTCAAGTCTAGCTCCGGAAAGAACTTCGTTGACCACTCATTTGAAGAGATATGAGGTTGATGTTGTAGCTTCTCCAATTTGTCGAATGCTTGTTGAAGAGTTTTCTTGATGCCTGTGGAATGTCATATGTTTATTTCCTATTTATAGTTGTAGGGGGTGGACAAGGTTGCATATGATTGTCCAAGGGATGTCCCTTTGACTCTTCGCATGTTGTAATAGGTTCTTGCACTTGATTGGACTAACACCTCATTTGGACACGTGGCGTCACCTTGTTGGTCTTGGATGCCTAGTCACCATGACACGTGGCATGAATTTGGGCTTCAAGGTGGAATGAACCTTGGATTTGAATTTAATGAGAAGAACTTATTTATTTGAAAAACCCAAATTAATTTATCAGTCCAAACAAACATGGATTTAGTTTAATTTTTTTATAAATTTGATCCAATACAATTTATATGTCTACAATATGTTTATGATTTTTTTCAAAGTTATCACGTACACGTGATATCACACCTTTTTATACGTGGAACTATTAAACGACCCAAAGTCTCATTTCTTGAATTTAACTCAAAAGTTTTACTCCTATTAAAATTTATATTATAAAATTAATATTTATCATAATATTTGTACGATTATAAACGTCCTAAAATTTATACTCTTAAGTTTGATATTATTTGTGTGACAAATTAAGTATACTTCAACAACACAATGCTAATTTTTTTAAAATTAGTGGACTATATATTTTCTTAGATCAAACTTTACGTTTCAAAGTGTTGTTGTCTTAGAATGTTGTCTGACGTGATTAGAGAGACTTCTGCGTATGCTTTTTGTTAAATAAAAATTATTTAAAGTATAATAATAAAACATAAATTAAGTAAATCAATATAACATTCATCAATGAGTTAGTTTTGGCTATAATTTGTGTTTAATTCTTTTTTGGATAAGCAATATAATTTTAATATTATATTTTATTTGTTTTAATTTGTATGACTTGTTTGACTTGATACGATTTTTAAGAAAGTTTTTTTAAAAAAAGTTATAATTTAAAAATAAATTATAGATATTTGTGTGACTATATACCATTTTATTAATGATAAAATGACTTTTTAAAAATTAAAATGTTATAAATATTTTTTAAACTGATTAAAATAAAGTGACTTATATAAGGGCAACTTTCACATATAGCAAATAAAAAATTTATATTTATATGCTATCGCAAAATTTGCATAATTATGCTCCATAGGAAACATAGGAACTGTATAATTCCCTAACATATACAATTGAAGCAAATTGTATAAAGTGAAGTTTATCAAACAAGAAAGAAAAAGACACTTGGGCAGAGAACTTTATAAAAACGAAGTGTATAAAATGAATTGTATTATTATAAGTGTATAGAATGATTATATACAATTTGAATTTGTATAAAATGATAAAGAGAGAAAGACAAAAGAGACTTAACAAGGAATATACAATTGAATCGAATTGTATAAAACGATAAAAAGAGAAATTAGATACAATTTGAAAATTGTATAAAACGAGAAAGAGAGAAAGACAAAAGAAACTAGGCAGAGTAGTATTTTTATTTTATAATTATAAGTGTATAGGACGAAAATATATGTACTTGCATGTGTATATATAATTTTCACATGCTTTATACAAATAGAAACACAATTTATACATTTCGCTTCTGTTTGTATAAATGAGAAAGGCGAGGGTGGCGAGCGAGATTGGGGAGAGTGACGAGCGAGATCTGGAAGAGAAAAGAGAAGGGAACAAAAATATATGTATTTATATAATTTTCTTTGCTTTATACAATAAGAAACAATTTTTATACACTTGTGTTTGTATAAAAAGTGAGGAAGCGAGCGAGAGACTGGAGGAGAGTGATGAGCGAGATATTTGGGAGAAAAATGCCTGTCAATTTTTTGCAAACGTTTGCTACGGAGCACAAGTAAATCAAACCTTAGCTACTCCATTTATTTTAGGTTATTAGTTTGATATTATATATAATTTTTCCTTATATAAATTGAGTAAATTGCAACCCTCGCATGTAGCCAAACCAATGGGCCAACTAAACTCATTTATCCAAGCAAATCTCCTTTATATTGTTTGTGGTACATATTACTTCATCTATTTAATTACTTATTTATTTTCTTTTTTAGTTATTTCTAATTACTTATTTAATATGTACAATTTTTAAAAAAATTAAGTTTTCAATTCATCGGTCTTTTGAAGAATACCAACACTATGATTTATGGTGGGCCCATTTTACAAAATGTAAATAGAGTTTGTTTGGACATTCTTTTATAACCTATGATTAATTATAAGCTTAAATTGTAAGTTATGATTCTTATGTTATTACTTTTAATTTATTTTTATTTAAAAATGATTTATTATTATACATTTTTTAGTTCTTTCAAACACGACAAAAGTGTTTTAAAATTTTTTTGACTTAAAAATATCAAAAATAAGTTGATATAATACACTAAAATAAAATAAGTAAGCCATGCTTTGTGTTCTCTTTGAACTAGATATGTGATACCCGTGCAAGGCACTGGGCCAAATTTTTTTAGATGGACTACTTATTATCAGTACCATTTCATACTTGTAAATTAAAAAAACTGAATTTTATTTCATGTGTCCGGGTTATAGTTACAACTTGAAATTGATCGAAGATAAGTGAAGTCGAGAGTCTAGACAAATAGAACTATCACAGAAATAGCTTCTTCTTTTTTCTAAGCATCGATACACGAAATACTCAAACAAGCAAGCATGCCAAAAGATACTTGAACAGTAAAATATTCTTGGTTGCAGGCAGAGCATCAATATTCTTGGTTGCAAGCAGAAATAAGTTGTGTGTCTGGACAACACATTACGTCTGAAGACAACATTAGAACCTACAACAATACCAACACAAGTTAATAAACTACATATACTTCAATAGAAAGATGAAATTCAATTGTAAAAGCAAGTTAAATTCAGAACCTGACATTATAAAACCAAGCACTTTACCTTGTAAGACTATTCCTAACTTTCTTATTGAGGTACGACATGACATGGTAACAAGTAACACCTTCAATTATTCTTAATTCTTTTATTGAGACTGAATCAGGAGATGGTAACCATTAGTTGTCACAAATGCTAGGACCATAAAAAAGAAATGCAGTGAAATAATATTTCAATTAGGTATACATATGCAGTTATATGTTCAATTTCTACTAGAAGTGTGTGTGCGCGTGTGTGTGCGCGCGTGTGTGTGCATGTGTGTGCGCGGGGCGCGTGTGCGTGCGTGCATGCGCGTGCGCATACTACTCGAACTAAAACAATTAGAACTATGAGACAGCACTCAAAACTTGAGAGTGGGAAAATGATAAATATCTACGAAAGCAAATGTGTGTGCGCGCGCGCATACTACTCGAACAAAAACGATTACAACTATGAGAAAGCACTCAAAACTTGAGAGTGGGGACAATGATAAATATCTACGAAAGCAAATTATGGTTTCTCAAACATAGCCTGCGTTGGCCATTTCTAATACAGTAATGGAATTTAATCAAAATTTCTATCTCCTATCAAAGACAACATGTACGTACAAAGGAAAGAAACTCGGGGAAAAAGCCCCTGTTGTAAGAGGTTAGTGGAAAGTGCGAGATTCGAATCATTAATTTCTGCGTCCTATCAAAGACAACATGTACCACTACCAAAACGCGGATGTATCACTTACCTCATTGGAAGAGTTTTATTCCTGAACGGGAGGAAGGACAAACTGGTTAGCTAGGTCCCTTCTGTTCCATTCTTTGTTCGCAGTGTATTGGACATGTTATTTGTAGTTTTGATGATTTGACAAACTCAAGGACCTGGTTCTTGGCTCAATATGCTTTTTGGCTGCCAGCTGGACAAAGTACAAAAACTTGGTGCACAGTCTCCAACAATAGCAGAAATGGCAGACGCGCGAGAAACCTCAGCCAATGGGATTGTTTTACGTCTTATGACCTTTCTACATAAACAAAACATCCCTATATTCACAATTAGTTTTTGCAACTTGAAAAAGATCTCAAGAACTCTTGCAAATTCTTACAAAAGTAGTGAAGAAGCAACCTCAATATCAACTCAAATCTGAAAGAGCTGGACGCTTAGTTGTCTTAGGATTATTTTTTCTACACGTAAATTTTAAATATGTTACTCCATTTATAAAAGAATCAAATAGTGTTTTGGTGTGAAAATCCTAAATCAGTTGAGTCCAACTGATTTAATGGGCAGACTTAAGTATTGTTTAGTAAAAATCCTTAGTTATCCGGAGCGTGGTGATTTTGTGGGCAACCTGTGTATTGCTTAGTTGAATCCTAAGTTTTCTAGTGGTTATAGCTTAGTGGGAAGAGTGAAATCTGCTTAGTCTCTTCAAGCAATAGAGTTATTGATTGGTTGTAAGATTAATAACTTTTTCTCACGTTTTTGTAACCAGTTTTACTTTTGCTTGTGAAGACTAGTGAAAATGTTTTAAGATCTTATGAGACAGGTCATGGTTTTACTCCCTTGATCAAGGAGGTTTCCACGTAAACTGCCGATGTTGATATTCTGCCTTTATTTACAGTTATTCATATTTTGAGTGTGTCAAAGGATCTGGTCCATTGACTGATAGTGGACGCACAGATTCTAACAAGTGGTATCAGAGCAGATACTCTCTAGCTGGTTAACACCAAGAGAGTGGTTCCTTCATTAGAATGGTTGCTCCACTTAACCTTGAAGAAGGGAAATCCTCAACTCGACCATCACATTTCAATGGTCTGTTTTTTAGCTGGTGGAAAACAAGAATGCATGACTATCTTATGGGTGAGGATAGTGGGTTATGGGACATTGTATTGGATGAGATTTTTATTCTAACTTCTGAAGTAAAGAACGGTGAGAAAACTAGAGTTTTTCCAAAGACTCGTCAACAATACAGCGAAGCGGACAGAAACAAGATTGACAAAGCTACAAGGCTAAGAAGTTGTTGGTTTGTGGTATAGGTGCTGAAGAATATAATCGTATTTCTGCCTGTGAATCAGCAAAAGAGATCTGGGATTGTCTCACGATTTCTCATAAAGGTATTGAGCAGGTGAAGGAATCAAAGGTGGATATTCTCACTTCTCAATATGAAAATTTCAGAATGAAGGAAGGGGAAACTATTCATGACATGTAAACTAAACTTTCCTCCATAACCAATGATCTAAGAACTCTTGGAGAGCCAATCAGTACTAGCAAGCAAGTTAGGAAAGTTTTTCAAATTTTTCCTAAGTCATGGGAAAGCAAAGTAGATGCTACCACTGAAGCGAAGGATCTGAAAGTTCTGACGATGGATGCTCTTATTGGAAATCTCAAGACATATAAAATTAATAGAAGTCAAGACCTCTCATAGAAAGAGTCCAAGAAAGAAAAGTCTCTAGTACTCAAATTTACTCCTGGAGAAGTGTCTTGTGAAGAAGATGATATGGACTATCTTACCAAGAGATTTCAGAAGATCATAAGAAAAAATAGAGGGTTTAGAAAAGGAGGGAACCCTCCTCGAGCTACAGCTGCTAGTGACTTGTGTTACAAATGTGGAAAGGCTGACCACTTTATAAGGGACTATCATATGTTTAATGCTGAAAACAAGGAGTATTAAAGGCAAAGAGGTGAAAGGACAAACGAAGAGACCTGGTACCTGACAAATGTGCCAGAAAAGCTGCAGTTGACTATGCAGTGAAAAAAGCTCTTGCTGCATGGGGAGACTCTTCAAGAGTCAGGAGATTCAGATTGTCCCAAAGATGCATCAATATCGATGATTCAACACGAGGCTAACATATTCAATGTGATGTTTGCTCTCATGGCTAAGTCAGATAAGGACGATGATGAAGATAAGGTAACTCTTCTTGACATTAAGAAAACTTGAATACGTACTCTATTAAAAGGTTGAGAAGGTTAGCAAATGTCTTGATTGACTCTGTTATAGAGTTAAATACTGAAAGGGGCTCTATGAACAATAGTCTTCATGGTTTAAATGAAGAAAAGGAAGTAATGGTAGTTTAGATGTCTGTTCTTGAGGAACAAATGATGGTTCTTGAATTTGAAAAGCTGAAACTTAAGGAGCAACTGGATTTGATGATTGAGAAATATGGTAAAAGGAAGGGGGAAGCTACTAATCTGCAAGCAGAGTTAGAAAGCAATTTAAACATAACTGAAAACAGACTTGCCTTAGCCCTGGAAAGAAATGATCAGATGGAGAGGGACCTGGTCTGTCTTAAACAAGAATTTCAAGTATTTTTAAAATGGACAAGATCCACCACACTACTATCTAATGTTATAAGTCAAAGTAACTATAACAAAGGGGGTTAGGAAGTTTGAACATTACTCCTCGTTACGACCCCCATAACAAATATGTGTTGTCTTAGACAATTTACTGTGTCTTCAATGTGGTCGAAACGGCCATCTGAAAGGAGATTGTCCTGCCTGGAAAGCTTCACAAGAAAATTTCTCTGTCAATTCTAAGCAAAAAAGGACTCAGCTAAAAGGACCAGGTCCTACTGGAGAAAAGCCTAGATAAGAAACTGCTAGAATCAGAGGACACGCTCCAGTTCGTAGGGTCTCAAACTTTAATAAGACAAAGTTGTCACATTGGCAAAAAACACTCTCGTTACACCGTTGTCAGCGTATTGGGAACTCAGATTGAAGTGTGTTCCCAAATCTAACAACTAATGTTTTTGCTGGTGAGTGAAGTAAGTAGCAACACGTGCTTGTACATGGACAGTGGATGCTCAAAGCGCATGACTGAAAATACCAAAAACTTCCTTTCACTCAAGGCATTTCACGGAGGAGGTGGCAATAAAAAAAGGTATATTCTTGGCGTAGGAAAATTTGGCGAATATCTTGAAGATTCCACTGAAATGTGTACAATTTTGTCCACAAAAAGGGTGATTTTGACTGCAAAAAAAACATGCATGCGGCAAAACTAGAAATAACTCACGGAAATGATCTAACATGCCTAATTGCTCAAAGGGAAAGTGCTAACTTCTGGCACATGAGACTAGGTCATGTGATCTCTTCTCTATTGAACAAATTAGTTTCCAGGGATCTGATCCATGGTCTGAAAAAGATGAAATTCAGTGACAGTAAAGTGTGTGATGTATATGTCAAAGGGAAACAAACCAGATCTTTATTTAAATCAAAGAAGCATGTCAGTTCTTTAAGGGTTCTTGAGTTAATACATATGGACTTGTGTGAACTGATGAAGATCCGGAGTCGAAGAAAGAAAAATTACATTTCAGTGGTTGTGGATGACTACTTCAGATTCATGTGGACTATGTTTCTCAAGTCAAAGTCTAAGACTGCTGATATGAATGATGATGATGATTTGCTGGAGCTATTCAAATTCCAGAACCATGAAGCGAGTAGGAATGAAGCTGTGGTGTATCTAGGCTCTGATGTTGCTGATTTTAGTCCATCTGAGGAGGTGAAAGAGTACGACCAACCTATTATGGGACTTGTTCCTTCTAATGATGCCAGCTAAGAAGACACTCTTCCTCCTTCCACAAATGATGATTTGAAGATGAAGAAGAACATATGGATCAACGACAATCTCAGGGCTCTAGATCTATATGGAAGCATAGTTCATCTCACCCCCTTGAAAATCTCATCTCTCCTCTGAATTCTGGGATACAAACCAAGTCAAAAACAAGGAATTTTGTTGCATTCTCAGCATTCATCTCTACTATTGATCCTAAAAATGTGAAATAAGCACTAATGGATGTTAATTGGGTAATCTATATTCAAGATGAATTGCATCAATTTGAGCGAAGCAATGTGTGGTACCTGGTCCCATGACACAAAACCATTGTTGGGACCAGGTGGGTGTTTAGAAACAAGATGGATGAGAGTGAAGGCTATCATAATCCTCATAGAATTTGCAATTTTTATTGGGTTCAAACTATTCCAGATAGATGTTAAAAGTGCCTTTTAAAATGGTGATATAAAGGAAACAGTATATCTTAAACAACCACCTGGAGTTGAGGATGCAAATTAGCCAAATCATGTGTTCAAACTCAACAAAGATGTGTATGTGGATCATATCATTATTGGAGCAACCTCTGAATATCTCTGTGAAGAAATTGATACCCCATGGGAATAAACTCAAAAATAGGAGCAGATGAGGCTGATCTTTTAGTAAATTAAACAATGTACATAGGTATTATTGGATCTCTATTGTACTTGATAGAAAGATGGTCGGACATGGTATTCAGCGTGGGAATGTGTGCACCGTTCCAAGCATGCCCCAGGGAATCTTATCTAAAGGCAATTAAGAAAATCCTGAGGTATCCGAAGAAAATAGGGGACCTGGTCCTGTTTTATCCTGCAGGTAATTCTTTTAAACTAGTGGGATACATAGATGCTGATTTTATAGGATATCAAGTGGACAGAAAGCGCAATTCTGTAATGGCTCATTTCCTTGGATGCTCACTAATTAGTGACTCTCTGAACAATTGAGGCTGAGTGTTTAGCTGCTGCTTCCAATTATGCCAACTTCTTTGGATAAAGCAAGAAATTGAGGATTTTGGAGTCCACATCAACACCATCCCTCTCATGTGTGATAATACCAATGCAGTCAACATGGGAAAGAATCCAGTCCAGCACAATAGAATCAAGCACATTGATGTCAGGCATCACCCTTTGAGATGAAATGTTGAGAAAGAAAACATCATCATAAAATACTGCAGGACTGAAGATCAGATTGCAAACATCTTTATCAAATCTCTTAGCAAGGATCAATTTGAGAGCAATAAGCTGATGTTAGAGATGATGAACATGCATTAACCTAATTTCGTTAATAAGCCTCTAATTCCTGTTTTGTCTAAGATCTGTAATGCATTATTTAAGTAAGATTGTCTTTGTACCTGAATGTAGGTATACACCATTCAGGAATTGTATTTCATTTGTAGTTGAGGACCTGGTCCTTCCCAAGGTTGGCATTCTCTACATTTGTTTTAAATTGTCAAATGAGAACCATCCAGATCGCCACGTGTCAGTCATCGGTCCTTCTGATCGTTGTCCAATAACCTTTAATCCAAGCGATGTGTATATATAGGGACCTAACACACAATTTCAAGTTCTTTTTATAGTGCCTTTGCTACACTCAACCTTATTACATTCCAACTTTTCTCTCTAAGTCTAAAATCAAAACCTTCTTAATCTTTCTATTTCTCTCTAGAATTTAAGTATTTTCTTTCAAACAATCATGTTTTAATCCTCTTCTTATTCAAAGAAAATGCTAGATTCTCTAAATGAGATAGATCTAGTGGCTTCTTATACCTTTTCAGAAGCAGCTTCTATTGATAATGGGGACAAGTCGTCTAAGAAAGAAAGTAAGGGTAAAAGTAAAAGAAAAATAAGATTTCTGCGGGAAAGAAGGTTGTTATTAAAAAAAGGGATTGTGGCTTCTTCAATTGATCTATTCATTTTGTGAATGTATTGAAAGAAAGGGAAATCCACTTAGTAAAGTTTCTTAGTTGATCAAGGGGTAGGACCAATTGAAACATGAATTGGATGGTATGACTGTGCTAGTGAGTAACAAGGAGGATGAAATTGCTCTGTTAATAGAAGACCTGCTCAAAGACCAAACACAGGGACCTAGTACTGGGTTGTCCAGAAGCTAGAAAAGCAGAATGATGAGTTATTTGCAAAAGTTGTTTCTCTTCAAGTGAAGATGATCAAGGATAATGATGCAGCAGAACTCTAGACTCACCCTTGTTATCAACTCCCTCTCTCATTTACCTGCCTCCACATAGTCCTTCCTGTGACTTTTCTTTGTGTGGACAGTGTCCGGGTTTCTTAGTTTTTCAGTTTAACTTAAATGTATTGAATGCTTATTTATTATGCTCATGAAATGGAATCTTGTTTTGTTGTGGCTAAAGTCTGTTGCTTTTTGGCTTATTAACTATGTTTGTGTTATCCTTGACTGTGATCTTACTTATCAATATTACTTCTTGTGTTGGTTTAGTGCACTACTTTTTTTATGATGCCAAAAGGGGGAATAAATTGGGGGTATTCAGATGATGCTTAGATTAGTAAGAAGTACTATGGGGGAGAAAGAAAAAGCGACAGGGGGAAGGAAAACATGCAGGTACCAATGTAACTCAAGGAAAACATGCATTTACCCGTGTAACTCAAGGACCTTGTAAAAGTACCTGGTCCATGGTGTAGGAAACTAAGGAGTGTGTCTACTCGACATGGGGGTGAAATGCAGGCATTGGTATAACGTTTGTCATCATCAAAAAATGGGAAAATTTTATTTGGAGTTTTGATGATTTGACAAACTTAGAGACCTTGTGAAGAGACCTGATTCATTGTGCAAATGTACATGCAATTGGTAGGTCTTTATCGATAGGGGGAAGGAAACATGGAAGAACATATAGACACTGGTGTACTATTTGTCATCATCAAAAAAGGGGAAAATGTTATTTTTAGTTTTGATGATTTGACAAACTCATGGACCTTATGAAGGAACATGGTTCTGGGCTCATTATGATTTTTGGCTGCCAGCTGGAGAAAGTACAAAAGTTTGGTGCACAGTCTCCAACAGTAGCAGAACTGTCAGACGCGCGAGAAACCTTAGCCAATGGGATTGTTTTACGTTTTGTGACCTTTCTACATAAACAAAACATCCCTATATTTACAATTAGTTTTTGCAACTTGAAAAAGATCTCAAGAACTCTTGCAAAGGCTTAAAAAGAAGTGAAGAAGCATACTCAATATCAACTCAACTCTGAAAGAGCTGGAAGCTTAGTTTTCTTAGGATTATATCTTCTGCACATAAATTGTAAATCTTTTCCTCCATTTATAAAGGAATCAGATAGTTGTTTAGTGTGAAAATCCTAAATCAGTTGAGTCATACTGCATTAGTGGGCAGCCCTGAGTGTTGTTTAGTAGAAATCCTAAGTCATCCGGAGTATGGTGATTTAGTGGACAACCTGCGTGTTGGTAGTTGAATCCTAAACTGTCTAGTGGTGATATCTTAGTGGGCATAGTGAAATCTGCTTAGTCTCTTTAAGCAATAGAGTTATTGCTTGGTTGTGAGATTAATAACTTTTTCTCACATTTTTGTAAATGGTTTTACTTTTGCTTTTGAAGACTAGTGGAAATGATTGAAATCCTGTGAGACATGTTGTGGTTTTACTCCCTTAAGTAAGGAGATTTACACGTAAACTGTCGGTGTTGATATTTTGCCTTTATTTACAGTTGGTCATATTTTGAGTGTGTCAAGGGACCTGGTCCATTGACTTATAATGGACACACAGATTCTAACAGGACACACTTAGCTTATCATTATTTCTTTAACGTGATTATTTGATGAACCGCAAAGTGTTGATTACAAATCGACTTCTTTTTTATGTAAGCTGTAGAAACAGTATTAATAGTGCCTTATTCTAAATGTTCTTGCATGGTTTAATGAATAAGAAGACTAATATATATATGATAAGTTTTTTACCAATTGGCTAGCCTCTACGTCTAATGTATCAAGTGATTCATGACATGTTTCTAGGATAAAACTCCAACAGTTACTACTTCCAAAAAAATTAGGAAGCAGTGATGGTAATTTTATTTAGATGACAAACGTGAAGAGATGCATAATAATTGATATAAAGTAATTAAGTATAAACTAAACTTGACATTGTATCATATAAAGTACGAATAATAATTAGGAAATCAAGGTGATAATCCCATTGGAACACACAGAATTTTGTAACAAAGAAAAAAGCAAATATCATATATTCTCACCCAATAATCAGAGGGAATTAAGTCAACCAAAATTCAGCAATTGAGAGTATATATTTAGCATCGTCAGGTTCCTCAGAATTTTGGAAAACACTCACCTACATACCATGAAAAATATTAGAGATGCAAGAAATAGATTGAAAAGGTATAAAACATGACATTAACTAACAAAAAAACTTTAATGGACTATTCAATTCTCACAAATCCTTCAAAAACCGTACAACTCTATGTAGCAGAATTAAGTGAACAAAGGAATACTGTTAATTCTCAGAAGTACTTTAAAGCAACCTATTAATGAGAGACGGAGTATCCGATTTACAAATGGTAGAATATACACCTTATCAAGAAAATGAAGAGGAAGAGACGCAGAGAGAAAATTGAGAAAAGGAAATTACTAATAAATTAAAAACCATCTTCCTCTCAGAAGAAGATAACAAAAGATTATATGCACCTTGGAAATACGCCCTCATCATTAAACTCATTTCTAAAGAGAATTGCTCATCAATATCTGAAGACAAAAGTCATACAACTTTTGAAGCCATCTGAAACTTTTCCCCAAATTGACCTGGTAGAAGACTATTATTTGTGAAATTTTTACAAAGAGGAAAATATGGTCCAGACACTTTACAATGGACCGTGGTTTATTAATAACCACTTCCTTAATATACAAAGATGGAAGCAAAATTTTGTCCCAGAAAAGGAATTCTAACATACTTAGACATTTGGATAGATTACCTCAATTAACTACAGATTTTTATGATGAAAAGATATTAAAAAAAGTGGATAATTTCATTGGAAAACTATTAAAGATCGATGTATGCACTAGCTCCATCTTAAGAGGTAGATATGTAAGATTATGTGTCCAAATTCCTTTTGAAAAACCAGTTTTGAGCTCTATCAAAATCGGAGAGCTCATACAGCCTATCTTGTAAGAAGGATAAGGATTTTTCTGTACAACTTGCGGAAGATTGGGGCATACTGCAAATAAATGCTCTCAGATCAAGATCCAAACAGATCCTTGCACTAGCACCACTCCAAAGGAACAAAAAACAATCTAAAAAAAGAATTGCATATGGTTAACTTCCAGAAAAAGAATTGAGACTGGAAACTAAGAAAGAAGCATCAAAATCTGGAGGAGAATAATCATCTCAAGCAACCAAACCAGGTTTAGATGTTAATATTTATGCAGCAGTTTCAGGTAAACCTAAACTTTCTCAATTACCAATTTTTTCTTCTAAAGTAAAGGAGTCAGGCCCCCACACCTTAGAAAACTTTAACATTAAAAATAATCATAGTAATATTAATAAACATGATAAGTTCCCCATTTCTCCTACTACCCAAAAAAGACCCTTTGAAAATATTAATAATAACTACAATATCCTATCAATATTAGAAGACTCCAACAATAGTTCTATTATGACTACTACAAACGCCTTTACTACTCCTGACAAAGAACTAATACCTTCTGATATCAGTAGTAAATCTCAAGAGAAAACTACTTTTCCTATCCTCCAACTATAGACTACCCCATCAGAAATGACAAAATTGCCAGCAGGGTCCTATTGGAAATATAATAAAACAAAATGTAAACCCCTATTTCTCAATTTCCTCCTATCAAACAACTTACAATAATAATAAAGAGGACATGTACACTTGACACCATTCAATCCTTTGACACCTTGGAACACTTGGCAGATTTCTCTCACCAAATTGATAATAATTTTTGCAACTCTAGCACTCAAATATTTACTTCAACTCCCCCATACAAGACCCAACCAATAACTTCCTCAGAATATCTCCTTATAAAGATATTCAATCATTACATCACTCAAATCAATCAAATACTAGCGTTATAAACAAGAACAACCTTTTAACTCACAATGTACAAAACATGCATTCCCTTTCACCAGAAAATCAAACTATCCCCTGTGGTTCGACCTCAGAGAGTGTTCAATCCAATGATGAACAACGTACCTCAAATTCCAACCCACATTATTCAGCACCACTGTTGTTGGAAACCGAACTCGTTCATCCCCTTCACCTGTCCCAACCTTGGTTAGAAAGTGGTCTGCAGAACCATGCAGCCATCTTCTCAATGGACATCAATTGGACCGAAACTCTGATAATACTCCAAAATCAGAACTTCTTCGCACAAACTTATCACACAAGGGATGAAAGTGGCAATATAGAATCTTGTCAACCACATGTGGAATGTAAATATGCAGAACCCGATACCCCCCAACCTTGTTTTGGGTTTTATGCAAAAAATTCTTAGACTGTGGAATCTTCCACACCATCTAGCTCCCTTCCCCAATATGAACAATCTAGTATAGACCCCTTTTTTCACTCCCCCAGAGATGATAAATCCCAATCCGATACTCTTCCCATGGCAACCAATGTCAGTCCAACAAGGACGTCCTATAATAATTCCTTTGCACCTCAAGGAGATGTACCAAAAAATATCCCTCCCCATACTGCGTGTCCCCAAGAATCAAGCGAAATCCTAAGGAGATGGGTCTCGTTCACCGAAATATTAAATCTTGTAAACTCCGCCCTTATGTTTTTTTCAAGAAAACGAGGACAAAAAATATATTCACAATTGTCCACTGTCCGTGAAGAAGTGTTCATTCAATCTAGGGCCACCATTGAACAAGGACTTGGCGAAACATGTAGTAATTATGACCCTAAATATGAGGACATCCACAATCTCAACACTGGAGAACAGGGAAATCCAGAACCCACGGATAACTTAGAACCTGGTGAATCTGCAAACTAGCTTAATGGTTTCGAACACTAGGGAGTAAATAATGAAAACTTTAAATGAAATGTTAAGGATATCATCCGTAATCATAATTCTTGTTTTGTGTCTCTTCTTGAGACTAAAATGGATGACCATAATAACCTTAAGAATGAATTTAACATTGATGATTACCTTGAGGTCCCTGCTCAAGGTAGAGCTGGAGGCATTGTGCTAATATGGATTACGGATATGGTTAATGTGACACTAAAGAAAAAAGATGAACAGGCATTGCATGTCATGATCCAGGTACTTCCCAATAATTTTTCTTGGTGTTTTACAATAATTTATGCAAGTACAATAGCTATAAAAGATATATCTTTTGGAATAACCTAGAAAACATGAGTTCCTCCCTCAATGTTCCTTGGCTTGTTGCGGGTGATTTTAATGAAATACTACGTCAAGAGGATAAATGGGGTGGATGATAAATAAATTTGAGGAAGATATCTAACTTCTAGAACTACCTAAATAAATGTAATCTAATTGACCTAGAATTTAAGCGTTGTAAGTACACTTGGTCTAACCATAGAAAGGGAAAATGATCTTATTTTTGAAAGAATTGATCGTGCTTTTGCTAATAAAGAATTGATTGTTAAATACCCTAATGCCCAAGTCACTCATATCCCTAAAACTCATTCTATCATAATCCTTTGCTTATAACATTCGTTAAACCCTCCTCGAAAAATCAATAAAAACCTTTAGACTGGAAAGTTTTTGGTTAGATTCAAAAATTTAGTGGTAATGTGTTGGAGTAATAAGGATTTTATAACTGCTACAACACTTTTTGAGAAAGAAGACTCAACGTTGGAGTCAAAATACCTTTGGTAATATATTTTTGCAAAAAAGATCATTTCTGACCAGATTAGGAGGTATTCAAGATTCTCCTATCAGACTAGTTACTATCTTCAGAATCTAGAAATGACTCTCCTTAAGGATTACAACAACACACTAAAATTGGAAGAAGATTACTGGAAACTTTGTTCTCGAATAAATTCGTTAAGAGATGGGGATGCAAACACTAATTTTTATCACCTTTCTATTCTAAATAGGAGAAGAAGAAATAATATCTCTTTCTTTAAGTATGACAATGATAATTGGATTACTAATGGGAAAAAAATCGTAGAGTATACTTTCTCCTATTATAAATCGTGTTTCACCACAAAACATTCAACGACTCATTGGGGAGACATGAGACATTAAGAAAGTTATTCCCAGCTTTCATAAATTAGATCTATCTCCACTAGATAAACCCTTAAATGATTTAGAAGTAATCCAGGCCCTCTTCTCTTTTAAACCCTTTAAAGTACCAGGTCCGGATGGCCTCCACCCTAAATTTTTCCAACAACATTGGCGTAGTGTGAAAACTTCTTCCCTCCAATGTTGCCATGATATTTTCAGAATCCAAATAATACCACCTCAACTTAACCAAACATTTCTTTGTCTTATTCCTAAATTTTAGAATGTGAATCACCTTAAAAGTTTCAGACCCATAGGGTTATGCAATACCATGTATAAAGTTGTTACAAAAATTATTGCTAATAGAATCAAACTTTTTTCTAAATGAATTGATCAACCCTCATCAATCCAGTTTCCTAAAAGGCCGTCGAGCCTGCGATAGCGCAATCATAGTTCAAGAACGTATAAATCATATTAATAAAAACCAAGAGTCATAAGAGTTGTCTAATCCTGAAATTGGATTGAGAAAAGTCTTTTTATAGGCTTGAACAGTCTTTTGTTAAAAGAACCCTTCACCACTTCAAGTTTCCGCCAAAAATCTCTAAGCTCATTATGAACCACATATCCAGTAGTAACATTCTTGTCTTGGTTAATGGTAGCCGTGCCGAGTTTTTCTCTCCCTCTAGAGGCATAAGACCAAGAGATACTATGTCTCCTTATATATTTATTCTTTGTACGGAACTCCTCTCTTCGTACATTAGTTCCCAAGTCGATATCTTTCTTTGGAAACCTGTGACTCTAAGTAAAAATTGTCCCTTCTTATAGCATCCCTTCTTCGCAGATGATCTCACGCTTATCTCTCGTGCAGATGATATATCAATCCAAACCATGCACAAATGTATGGATACTTTTTTCCATCTATCAGGATAAAAATTAACCCGAAGAAATCGAAAGTCGTATTCTCAAAATATTGCAGTGATAGCACTAAACTCTTGATCGAACATTGTTTCAATATTTCTCCTTTTATGAACTTTGATAGGTACTAGGTTTCCCTATTCTAAATGATAAACCCAAGCACGTTGATTTTCATTATATATCGATAATATGAAGAAAAAGATTTTTATGTGGAAGATTAATTGTCTTACACCTGCTGGCCGTTTAATACTCGCCCATGATACTCTCAATGATATACTAGCCTATTCGATGCAATATTTTTGTCTACCAGCAAAAACCAATAACATGATAGATAAAATTCAAAGAGATTTTATATGGGGTTCCACCAGTCACAAAAGGAAAATTCACTACGTAGTTTGGAAAATTATTGTCTCTCCAAAGAACATGGTGGTCTTGGTCTCCAATCAACCCACCTTAAAAATAAAATCATGCTGATTATCCTTGCTTGGAGGCTCTTCACGAATTCCTTGAGTCTCTCGGAAAAAACCTTAAATATGAAATATTACAAGCAAACAGCTACTAAGAAATTCTTTATTTCGCAAAACATTACCATGGGAAATTTAATTTGTAATGACAATACTGCTTGGTCCCCAAATAATGGTTATTCCATTAGATTTTGGTTCCACAGATGGATCCCAAATTCTCCACCCTTAAATCAACTAGTTCAAGGTCCCTTACGAGGAAAGATGAAGTTGCTACCATTTCTTCCATTTGGGACAGCCATAACTGGAATTGGAATATAATAAACATCCATATTCCTCCAGATATTAAGGAAAAAACTAACTCTTTTACATTAAACCTTGATCCCTCAAATAGTGATAAACCTTATTGGATGGGAAACCCAAATGACCTATTCTCCACCAAATCTGTCCATCAATTATTATGCAACCTCCTACTTCTTCATTTCAGTTTAGCTGGATCTGGAACCTAAAAATTCCTAATATGATCAAATTTTTCCTTTGGCTATGTTCTCATAATAGACTTCCAACTAACTCTTTCTTTCAGCATATTAGAATTGTTCATGAGGCTACTTGCAGTGTCTATAAACAAAAGGAGGAATATGTAACCCATATTTTCTTACATTGTTACACTGGAAAAAGTTTCTAGTTGGAACTAGGAATTTCTCAAAATCATATCACTACTCAAACACACTGGCTCCAGTTCTTCAAAGACATGAAATTACCGAATAATGTCAATATCCATAATTGGCTAGATTTTTTTCCATTCGCCCTTTGGAGTCTATGGAAAAATAGAAACCACAATACATTTAACTCTAAGAGCTCCACGTTATCATCAGCGAAAGTAATGAATAATGTGTTGGAATA